TTTTTTTTTTTTTGTTTTTTTTTTTTACATTCCTAGAAATTCCTAAGATTAATTTATTTATCAATATGTCATCTCTTTGTCAGCTATAAAAAAAATAATGAAAAAACTAGGGACCCATTTGAGCTAAACCTACCCAGGGAAGGGTGCAGCAAAAAACTGAGCTTCTTCACATCATATACTTTTCACATTATTTGGGTCTTTAAAGATGCTCTTATTGAACAACTTTATTCTATAACCTCGACCTTCACAGCATAAAAATTTTTAGACACTTCAATCAATAATATATTAAATATACCTAGTTTTCACCAGTCACCACAAAGGGAAAATAAAGGGGGTTTTGGGGGGGAGGGGGAGAGATAAGGTCTCCCCACCGGAACCAAAAATTGCTCCATAAAGATCTCCCACCTAGGCAGCAACCCCCCAACCCCGCCAGGGGGTTCTTTGTTTCTCTGCCAGCAAGATGGATTGTTGAGAAGGAGATCTATCTAATTCATGCTCACAAAGAGGCAAAATGGCACAACCACCACCAAATGACACTACATTTCCCAACTCACCTGTACTGGTGAAACACACCAATGATGAGCAACTGAAGGCGTGTCATTCAATGAGTTGTACTGCAAACAATGGCAGACACAGGATTTTGTGCAAGCGGGTTCAATCTTAGAAGTACATAACTTTAGTCGTAAAATAGTAGTTGTCAAGTGGGTTCAAATAAAATTTTATACAAAATTTACGCAGCTTTAATCGTAATTTATACATATACACAGTATTATTTTTTGATGAAGCGGGTTCAGTTGAACCCGCTTGCCACCACGTGCGTCCGCCACTGACTGCAGACAGTAGAAGTTCAAGCCTCGTAAATGAGAAAACATATAGAATCTGGGAATGCAGTGCACAGCTACATTTCCAGAAAAATTGTGCTTGGGGTTCAAACTTAAAACTGAAAAACATGCAGCACACAACTCCATTTCTGGAGTAACAGAGGAATGACAAAAAAGCTAGTTGCTTTAAAAAATTTAAGGCCTCTGCCTTCCTTTATGTTTTGTTTCCTGCTTTGAACATTATACAGTGTCTTTTCTAGCCTCGTATAGACGTAATACCTTTCTTCACATGAGCTCTCTGGTTGGCTCTGAGATTGCATAAAATACTTAAACTAATAAAGAAACACTTGGTAATTGCAGACCAGTGTCTGGTTTAAATCCCTTTCACCAAATCAAGGATGCAGTTGGCATTAAACTAAGACTTAAATTCATTCGGCGTGTGCGTGGAGAAAAAACAAAACAGTACATTATCTACAACTGAGTAAACTTTTTACGAATCCACATTCAAGGTTGCAACGAGCATAAACAACCAGAGAACTTTTACAACTCTAAGCATATAGAGATGAGATCCATACTTGTCACAGAGCTGAAAGTTCCTGCATTGCTTGCACTCCCAAAGATTTCCAGATACCATTAGTACGCAGCAATGGGTGCATGCGTGCTGTAAATGAACCATAATAAAATCCTCCTTCATTGGAGAAATTGTCTCGCCGAGCTGTGGCAAGTAAAAAAATGGACAGAGTTAAAAGTGCAGATGCAGTACTATCAGCTTTCATAACAAAGAATAAAAATAAAGCGAAACAGAAACAGAACATCACATTAAGATGATAAACAAGTGCAACAGTTTTTTTTCCTGATAAAGGGGGTATCCAGACCACCATGTGTGCACACTCGACTATTCCACCAGGTGCCTGCTACCTCCCACTATCACAGGCACCGCGTAACTCCTGTCCATCAAAGCTTAGAGGCAGATAGGAAAAGGTCACCTAGCTTTCTATCCCTGCTGGGTTCTGAATCCTGCTATCCCATGAATTTCGCCTACTTCATTAACCATTAGGCACACCTTTGGATGCAGAAACGAGTGCAAAATTCACTCTAAAGCGTAGTACTTAATCATAGTTTAATTGCTCGGGAGTTGCAAGCCACAACAATGTTTTAAAAGGCGGGGGCGTGAGGTTAGGCGTTTTACCTCTGACGAGGCGAGGCGTAAGCCCTGAGACATGGGGTGTAAGTCCCACGGATCTTTAAATTTTACTAATTTCAAGAATTTTAAGATAGTATAAAATAAAAAATAATTATAAAAATTACATTAAAATCACAAAATTATAACAAATAATCTATTTAAAATATTTATAAATTATAATTCAACTGTGAATAATACGAAAAGTATGACATATATCATAATATGCAAATTAGCTGCAACGTCGTTACAACTCAAACATCAAAAGTAATGTATTCGATACGAAATCTTATATGTATCTCTTAAGGAGTAATGAATCCTGAAAGAATTTCGATATTATAATTTGATATTTTTCTTAAATACTCCTTCTATTTAATATGCTTTGTATTTAAAAGAGAATTTATATAAAAACATAATTCATAATTTAAATGTGATTCTCAAGCATCGTTCATTTTTAAATTTCAACGAGTTCATAAAGTGACACATAATTCACCATACAATACCACGATAACTAATTATTTGTAAATAGTTGGTAATACTGACTTATTAAATTAATAAGTATTGTATCTCATAAACATGAAAAAAATAATATTTACAAAAATAATTATAAAAAAATTATGGACTATTATATAGTAAAGACATACAAAAGTTAATAAATAAATACTTTTTAAATGAAAGTTTTATTTAAAATTAACTATCATAGCAGTCTTAGTGGATAACGTGCAATAATTTTTACTTTAATTATGACATAAAATACTCTAAACTTAATGATTTATAATTAGGAAAAAAGTATTGGATAGTCAACGATTTATTAAGAAAATTTGAGGATTAACAAGATTAGTTACATACAATTGCATAAAGTTCTATTAGGCTAGCCAGTACACTGGGCGTTGGGCGTGTCCGGGATGTGGTGTAAGCCCCAATGGCCGAGGCATAAGTCTCACGGAACTAAGCCCCACACATAAGCCCAGGGGCGTTTTACGAGTGCTCAGTCCCGGGGCGAGCCCCGGGCGAGTCTCAATTCTGCCTTTTAAAACAGAGAGCGACAACTCCCATAATAACAGCAAATCAATCAACCAAATAGCCAATATATAGAAAGTAGAAGGCAAATGAGTAAACGAAGATGTTTAGCAATTAAAATTACTTTGTGCATTAGAAGCAGATCCTTAGATACATTCCCAGACAAGTCAGGTTGACCAGATGCTTTTAGAGCTCTTTTTGTTATGGTCTTCTTTATAGTTCCCTTCTTATGCTGCTTTCTCCCATCCTCTTCTTGCTGAAGTTGATAAATCATATCCTCTGCAGCACCAGGCCAATAGTCCCCATCAAAATAAGGTAGACGAGCTGCAGTAACTTTAGCCTTACATTCTCCCGTGGATATAAAGAAATGGTCGTATAAATTAGTGAGATCAACAACTATATTTTCCTTCTTAGCTTTTCTTAGCATTGATAAATACCTGAAATATGAGAAACACTAGTTTAATCAATGTAACAAGAATGAGAAAAAAATTCATATTACAGCAATATGTAATCTATATGGAAAAAATTATTAAGCTCACCACTCTCTGAGTTTGTCAGATTTTGGGGTCTTCTGAATTTCGGGGTGGCAATATAATATATAATCTTCACCTTTCAATGGAGGACATGCCCAAATATAACAACTCGTGAAACCACGCTTTTTGCAATATTCTAGATATCCAATCTGAGTGAAATCAAATATATTAATATACAACAAATATATAGAATCAACATTGGAATTGATGTGAAGAAAGATCACCAAAATTTCATGGTACACAAATGTGCGGAGAGCCTCTCCAGTCACTGCTCTGATCTCTGGCCTGAAATATTTAACAGAATCTAGATACGAGAGATAAACACGGCGATGATTTGGCTGTAGGCATTCAGATCCAAATTCCTGAACATACATGCCAAAGAGGCACACTTCTACACCTTCAATTCTCTGAAATAACAATAACACCTGGAGAATGCAACTTTTCAGTCCATAACTCAAACAATTATCGCCAAATTGCAAGTGAAATGGACAAGACAGACTCCTATCTGAGGATAATGCCAGAGTTAAACATATTGAGACATAACAATGTCTGAACATTATCTGGCATTTCATTAATCGGTAAACAATCGTATTTCAGAAACAACCCTTTGAAACTTGGCCTCCCACAATAATAGTATGATCAAAACTTTTATGGATGTCAAACGTCCTCCAAAGAAGGTAGAACACCTTCTTTGCAGAGGACAACGGAGGAGATTAAAGAAAGTAAATTTGAAGGCTATTCAAGATCCGAAGGAAACTTTTGAGACAATATTTCGGGTCATGGAAGATGAAACGAATTAATATGATATAGACAGGACCATGATGCCATCACCTTTTGCGCGTAAAAAGCTTTTTCTAATGGCACACCAGCCCTTATCTCTACAACAACGACGACCCAGTAAAGTCCCACAAGTGGGGTCTGGAGAGAGTAGTGTGTACGCAGACCTTACCTCTACCCCTCGGGGTAGAGAGGCTGTTTCTGATAGACACTCGGCTCAAGAAGACGAAAAGAGACAATATATCCGTACCATCAACAAAAACCATAAAAATAATAACATCACAAGAACCAGTAAATAGATGGAAGGCAAACAATAACCAGTAAATAAGGCCCGACACTATGAAAACGGAAGAGTAGTATGAACACAACATTGACCACTAGCAGTCTAAGACAAAATCCTATTAGCCTCACACTGGTACGAGTTAGAAATATGCTCAACTACTTAAAATAACCGCCCTTATCTCTATATATCTAAAATTGTTTTCTTTTTATTACTCAATGGAACGAGGATCATGCTCCTATACGAATTCTATGTAGTGACTGGGAAAGGTTGTTGGGAGCTGATCCTATTTCAAGTTTGAAAAATGGTTGTTGGGCGTTGAGGGATAATGTTTGGTGGAATTCCTTTGGGATAACTGGAACACCAGATTATGTACCGTCAAAAAAATTACAACTTCTGAAAGGAAGGCTGAGGAAATGGAACAAAAGCAACTATGGAAGTCTGGAAAATATAAAAAACGAACTTCTTGCACAAGTTGCACAGTTGGATAGTGCACTGCAAAATGATAATTCAGGAGTAAGAATTGTTGGTCCGGGCTAATTTACAGATGGAAGTAGAGGAAATTGCCAATACGAAGAGATTGCTTGGAGACAGAGATCGAGAAATTTGTGGTTGACGCAAGGGATAGAATACCAAGTTCTTTCACAAGGTGACCAATGTTAATAAGAAATACAATTACATTGGGAGATTGGAAGTCAATGGAGTCTTGAAGGACGAAACAGAGGAGATCAACAACAACAACAGCGACCCAGTAAAATCTCACTAGTGGGATCTACGGAGGGTAGTGTGTATGCAGACCTTACCCCTTTCCCGAGGGAGTAGAGAGGCTGTTTCCGAAAGACTCTTGGCTCAAGAAGACATTTTGGGGAGGGTAGTGTGTACGCAGACCTTACCCCTACGAAACATAGGAGATCAAGGAGGACATTTTGGAGCTCTACTAAAGCTTATATTCAGAGAATCTACAGAAAGACGGCTGGTTCTATGAAGTAAATGCCTCCTACATGGGAAACAAACAAAAAGCAATTCTCATTTGTTTTTGCACTGCCAAGTTACTGCCCAACTGTGGCAGCTTTTCCTGAGTATTACTGGTCCGCATTTGGTCATCTTTTGAAATGGTAAAGGTATTATTTGAAGGTATCATGGCATAGAAAGGTACAGGACGCGACAAAGACCAGAAGATACTATACTACGACAAATATGCAACTACTTCCTTCCTCGTAACAATTCTAAAAAATCCATATACTGATCCATACTTCCAATATGTCTCCTCTTACACGAGAAAGAAAGTAAGCAAACACTTATTCTTAATTCTAGAAATATGACTTTTTGTCCTTCAAAACAAGCTTTACTCCTCACCAGCCATGGCGTCCAAAGGATGCCCAGAGGGATAATGATCCAGACCTGTTTCAGGTCTTTCTCAATTTCCTTCCCCTGCCAGCATTCTAGCAAACCCCTTATGCTCTAAGGCATTGGTCTGCATTGGGTCATGCCTATTCAACGACTGAGTTGCTAAGATGCTGAAACAGAATTAGACGACGAAAGAACAAGCATAGGTGGTGGAACAGGGGACCCGCATATATTTGGTGGGACTATTTGGACGGAAAGAAACAGTAGCTGTTTTGACGACTTCACTGAATCTGCCGTTAACATAAAGTCTAAATGTATACTTTTGTGTTTCTCATGGTGTAGATCAAAATGTGTAAATGATGTTGAAACAGTTTTAAGATGTTAGAGGCCCTAAAAGACTAGGAGATTAGACTAAAACGGGCACGCTTTGCTGTTTTTGCTTCTTTAAATAGTGAACACCTGCAACATCCTTCGTGCTTGTTTTTATCTATAAATTATCTTACCTTTACAAAAAAAGAAGTTATTCAGATCCTCCTGCAATTAATTCTCAGTAAAACAGTGCCAGATAAAGATCTAGTTCTAACATAAAAAAACGTTTTCTTTTTTTAGATGGAAAAAAAAAGAAACTAACAACATGACATTCATTCAAATCATTAAACCCAAATTTGACGTTAAATGATTCTGCATGAAGGTACCTTTGATTTATATGCAAACTCCAGCGGATAGTTCTCTTCCTGAAATATCTCAAGAAACCGTGGTTTCACTTCTAACTTTTTGTCCACTGATGACACAATTCTTACAACAAGCCCTTCCGCTCCAGGAACCTGGAAACCAGTATAAGCAGGAGCTAAGGTAGGAAGGCACAAGTGAACTTGCTAACACCACTACGAATCACTAGATGCAGAGACAGAAGTTACAAAAATTAAAGATGATATTTTTACCAAGAAGAAAGGAGCATTGACAGAAAAAGGCTGATGACAGTGACCTGTTCACTAATTAGCTAAAACCGATAAGCTACAGACAAATGCAAATTCACTTCCAAACATCTCCAACCGCTTATAACCGTAGATCAGGATCCTAGAACTTTAATTTCTAGTCTTTTCCTCTAGAAGGCTGGATCTAATCAATATTCTGGACGATAACAACAATATCGGTTGAAAGAAACAAATGCAGCATCCACAGAACAGAGCAGGCCTTGATTTTGGATGTCTGGACCTATTAGTTCTTATACGTTCCAACTGACCTCCTTGTATATACTTTGGACTCAAGAGTGGCTGTTCATTCAGTTATATCAGTTTTGAAATGTTATTCGGTTTAGTGTCTGAACTTCGGTTTATAATTTCAAAAAGTGAGGCCAACCGAATTCGACTACTGCTCAGTTACAACTTCAGTTGGGACAATTTGAATGGGCCAATTTCTTTTTTCTTACGCTCTTTTTCTTGTCCATTTCAACTTTTCTTCTTTCTTGAGATTTTCCAACACAATCTTATGTTTGCTTTTAATCTGAAATTCTTAAGATTTGAATATCACCTCTCTCCCAGTAATCGATTGACTGAAATGACCTCCTACCCATGAAGGAGTACAAATGAAACAAATTGACGAGGAAAGACAGCCAAGATTACAAGCAAGCAAAAAACATATCAGAAGAAAGATCAGCAACTTGAAGGGGAGTATGAGAAAATCTGAGCATCCAAAATTCAAAATATTACATGTTCTTTTTTTTTCATTTTAAAAAAACATGTAACCCAATTTTGGGTTCACATGTGAATTTTAATGCGACTTACCAGAGCGAGAATGAGCTTACCTAAGGCAGCCTAATACCATGCGAAAGAATGTGCTTCCACTACAAAATCTTAGGGAATGGATGGAGTAGCCCAAAACCTTTATAAACCCCTTAGGAAGCCCTTACACAGCCCATGTTCAGACAACTCTGCAACTCAACAGGGGAAAAGGAAAAGGAAAGAAAGAGGAGGAGGAGAAGAGAGAGAGAGAAACCAAATGATAAATTAAAGGACTTAAGCTCCAAAGCAAAGGCCTTAAGCCCTTTCCACTGCGCAAGTCATAGTCTACTAGGGATTTTAATCTTCTCTTTTTTGTGGGATCACTGCCATGGGGTTTTGAAACATAAAGATATTATAAAGATATCAATAGTAAAGTAAAGATCCGTCACAAATTTCAAAACCAAGCACATCTAGAAACATGTAGAACACAAGAGAGAGAAGCATAACTGGAGATCACTAAGGAGCCCGTTGGAGGAGGGTGCTTAAAGCTGCATTTAGCTTTGTTGTCAAGCACGGGCGAGAGTAAAGGGAGCTGGGAAGATGAGTGAGGGAGTGAAGACAGACACAAGCTAAATAGCGAGGGTTGATAACGTGGGCACTGGACTACTACTTGAGGGAGATCTAAGGGGAATGAACACAAAAATGTGTACATATATACTCACACACATATATATTCCTCTTCTATTTTTTAATCAAAGTCGTCCCTTTTTATGAAATATACATTCTTTTTTTATTTTTTAAGAGTCACTTAGTTCGGTCAATTTCCAGTACAAAATATCAAAAAGCAAACCAGTTTATCAAATAATAATTTCGAAATTACAGGAAAAAACAGAAAAACCAACAAGCCAAGCCATTTAAACTGAACTCAACAGTTAGGTATCGTTTTCTCCAATGGAATAGTGTACACACCTAATCTTCATCTATTAGGACACTACAAGAGTGGTGGAGAATCAATCTGGATTTTTTCCCTTTAGATCTTCAGTAGAGGCTATATTCTTGCTAAGAAGATTGATGGAAATTTACCGTGAGGAGCAGAAAGATCTAAGCATGGTGTTCATTGACCTCTAGAAAGCATGTGATAGAGTACCAAAAAAGGTACTTCGGTGGATGTTGGAGGAGAAAGAAATTTCAAGTCAAATATATCATAGTAGTAGCAAATACAAAGGAGTTACCCGTAACCGTGCATGCCATTTCATGATACTGCTACTTGACAATAACCGCGATGATGTCAACCAAAAGCTTGAACTATGGAGAAGCACTCAAGAGAGTAATGGTTTTAGGATAAAGTAAAAGTAAGACTGAATATGTGCACTGCGAGTTTAGCCTTCATAAGAAGACTGAAGTGAGATTAGACAGGGTTGTGGTAATTAAATGCAAACAATTTAGATATTTAGGCTCTTAGTTCCCGGAGAATGGAAGGATAGACGAGGATGTTACACATGGAATTAAAATCGAGTGGTTGAAATGAATAAGTGCCACCAGAGTGTTATATGGTAAGGATGCCTATCAAAGTGAAAGGTAAATTCGATAAAACAGTTATACGCCAAGTAATTTATACGGGAGTGAATGTAAGGGTGTTACAAGTCCACACATCCGCAGTATCAGTGTTCCCGGCCAGATGCAAATACTAAGATGGATGTATATACAAGATTAGATAAGACTAAACATGACACATCCGCCAGAAAGTGCAAGAAGCACTTAAAAAGGATGAACTGAGACAATGTCGCTTAGGATGATTTGGTCATGTCCTGCATCAACCTCCAAATGTGTTGATTTGTAAGTGTGAACCGTGATGAGTGAAGGTGTATAAGAGGACGAACTAGACCTAAAACCACACAGAAAAGTCGTCTAAAGACCTAACATCTCTTGGAATCCAATCAAACTGGCGAAAGATAGAGTACAATGGAAGAAAAGATCAATACAAGCGATACCAACTAGTTGGAAATGTGCTTTAGCGATGTTAGTGAGTTTATTTTAGATCTTATGCTCTCTAAGACTCAATTTTAATAAAGTAATAAGATTTTACTGAATTTTTGGGCATGCTTTCTAAAACTAAAAGTCTTTTAGCCCCATCACAGATTTTATGCCATTATAAAATATAGAGAAATTCTATTACTTTTTATTTTTATTTTGCATGATGTTGGGTTGAGATTAATTAAATAGACAAAGATTGTCAGTGAGGATTCATATAACTTTGTTTAGGACTGAGGCGAAATGGTAGTTCTTGTTGTTTTGCTGATCAGAGAAATCAAGTCTCAATGCATTAATCATTTAAATTGGCCTGATAAATTACCTCATCATAACCTCTTCCTTCACGCATTGCTCTTTCTTGCCTTTCCCACTCCAAACGGCTAGCTAATCGTTGCTCAATATGATCACTGAGAATTGTTCGAGGCAGATCTTTTGCTCCAAGAACAGCACTTTGTGGTAAGGGTGTGCGCTCACCTCTTTCAACTTCTGCTATGTAGCAATTGGGACAGGTATACTCAGCTTGCCCACCATCATTCCTTCTACCATTAAATAAAGCACAAATCTGATGTTGCCAAGCTTCACACTTGTCACACTGCACCCACTGCACAAAGCAGTGACCTCTGATTTGATCAGACCAATAAAATTTATTGTTTTTGGCAATTAAGACCAAAAAAATTTAAAATTAGAAGAAACAACACATGTTATTGACAGAAAGCATGGACCATACAAGTTTCCACGCCCCATTTCTACAGCAAAAGAGATACTATATTTGTCAAATAAAATGCATAGAGTAGATACCCATTCTTCAGTTTCCTCATCATTTCTCTTTTTCTCCATCCTCGCTTTTGGAATGGTGGTTCCATCAACAACAATGGTGTCTCCACGGGCCTCATTATAGCATGGAATGCAGAAGTAGTGTCGTGTATCACCAGCTCCAATGGTATAATACATAGCATTACGTTTAAGACGAGCACCACATGGAGTACAATATATGGGTGGAGGTTCAAAAGTTAGCTTCTCAACTGCACATAACTGACAAGAATTTTCACTCATAGAATGCTCCATTGCTTGATTTTTTTCTGCTTTCGCTTTACTCTGTCAAACAAATAGAACAGAATTTCATCATGGAAAGAGTTTACTCATGCAGATCAGAAATGAAACCAAACATGTCACTGGAATAAAGACCGTAGAGGTGAACAAATCAGCTACTTGTCGAACCACACACATTGAAGACTAATAGGAAAAAGACGAGTATTAACAGTTTTATAAAGTCTACATAACATGGTAGAAGGAGTACATGAAAGAAGTTAGAATAGCACAATTCCTGTAAATAGCATAGCACTTCATTATCATCAACAACTCACAGATAAACCTTCCTTGACAACGAGTTATGTCTAACAGATTTGATTAGCCACTCACTGACTAGATGGAAAATAAAGATACATAATATAACTTCCCAAATTACCCATTGTTCTTGATTTCAACTTCAGCTAGAATACAACAAGTTCTTGAATTGCATCTCGAGACTAATCCACCGGGTACCTGCTATCTCCCACCAGCACAAGTACCACATAACTTTGTTCCCAAAGCCTTAGACATATGGAAAGGAACCGTTTTGCTTCTGCTAGTATTTGAAACATGGTTCATTCCAGCTTCAATGACCCCAGGTGACACAATTGAGACCAGGACAACAAATATATATGACCCAACCAACAGAAAATGCACGCTCTTGACATTGGAAAAATCATTTCAGCCCAATGCAATACAAACTCAATTCAAAGTATGCCCTTAAAACTTTAGCATACTTGGTCAAGGTGTAGAACTGCTAAAGAGTAAGGAATTTCTCAAAACATGCCCTCTATTTAATCCTTTAAGCAACTCTGGCCACTTCTTCAGGTTACCAAACATCCGTTTTTTTTAACTAACTGGTTATCGAGTTCTTATCTAGAAAAGGAAAAGAAAAAGTAAATCAACTCATATTTAAATGGCATGTTCTTTAGCAATCAACTGCAAAATTCCAAATGTAAATAAGTATGTCGGGCAACAAAGCGTGAGCAAAACAATCCCAATTTAGGAAAACCATATTTGACAGACCTGGCCTATCCATTGTCTCAGACCTTTAATGTGTTCCCGGACTTGCTCTGGGGTGAAAAGTTCCATCATTGAGACACCCTTTATTTTAGGCTTCCCAGATTTGGATCCACTCGTACTTTCAGAAGGCGCTGATGTATTTTCCTGTTTAGGCTGATCTATGTCCTTGTCAGCATTAACATTTTCCTGCTTCACAAGACAAGCTGGAGTACTTGATGCAACAGAATCACCAGCAGGCCTTTGAGTGTATGTATCATCCAAACTATCCTTTGCTATATCGGTACTACCAGGGTTAACTTGCACAGCATTTGCAAGAGTTTCACTCTTTACTTCAGTGTCTGCAGTCTTCATTGCCACAGCATCATTCTGTTCAACAAGCTGAGCATTTTGTAAAACATTAGACTCACCGGCCGAAACTGGCACAAGATTTTCAGATTCCAAGACAAGAGGTTGAGAAGATGGCTCTATTTTCATGCGTTTAAGAGAAGGCTGCAAATCTTCTGGAGTTTCAAATGCCACTGGACTCGTCTTGGCAGCGAACTTAGAAGAAGTTTCAACAGCATCATAGGTTCTACAAGTACCATTGCGAGAATTTGCCATATCAGACATATAGCCAGGACGAGCACACACTTTTTGATGTGCCTGTAGAAATTTCTTAACAGGAATGCAAACGGGACAGTTTTCATTCTTGCAATGCTTATGGTGATTAATTAAAACCTTTGTTTCAGGGCACCGAGGATATGGGCAATCAAATTTAATGCATCTTTCCATATGCCTCAACAGTTTTTGTGCATGTATGCAATTGTTTTCAGGACATTTTCCTTCAGGAGCAGAACATCGACGTGCATGAATCAAAAACAACAGCCACCTCTTCTGATTAAGATACTGTCGTTCACGAGGAACGTTACCAGATCTGCATATCGTACTGCTTGAATTATTGGTTTCAACTGCTCTATTAGCAACAGATTGACTGGCCAAAGACCCCTCTGTAGATAAATTATTGGGCTGAGCTTCCTCTTGTGTGGAAGTTCTCTGACGCAATTCCTCTTGTGCATTCGGTTCAAAGAAGCTACCTGGTATCTGAGACCCATCATGAGACTTGGGATACCATTGACCCTGCAATGCTGCATCAGAATAAACTCTATCAGAGCGACAGCTTAAACCAAGAAGCAATAAGCTGGTTTGGATGCAACGTCGTTGTGTTGGATCTGAAGATTGAGAAAGTGATGAACAGATATCCTGCTGACTAAATAAAGGAGAAGCAACTGATTACCTTTAGATTGGTCTCCAACAGTATTCTGTTGAAACTGATTTTGCATATCAGAAAACTGAAATTGCTCAGCAGAGATCTGTGAGCGCTGGGCATCATCATGATTTTCAGGTTCAGATTTTACTTGAGTATCAGGATTAGATGGCAGCTGAGCTTGACCAAAAGCATTGCTCCTTAACAAAAGTTGTTGGTGCTGACTTTGTAGCTTCTGTTGGGTTAAATGTTGAGCAAATCGATGTTGATGATGGAATTGTTGATGCTGACGAGAAGATAAATGGTCATCTCCCAGATAATGCTGGGACTGAAAGTTCATCTTCTCCGATTGATCGACAGGTTGAACCTTTAGATTTGGCATCTGCTGAGAGGCAGTCAAGTTCGACTGATTGCTCATCAGAGTTGAGTTTGCTTTGGACATGGACTGTAAGGCTACAGCACTCGAGCTCTGATTGCCAATGACCGTCCCTGCAGAAGACACAGGAGCATACAAGTTTCCCGACACTGAAGTTTCACTGTTGCTAATACCATATCTATCACCTGTTATCAAAACAATGAAATAGCTCACAATACTCAAAACATGGAAAGTAGTATATTGCCGGAATTACCTTAAAGGTATGTGTTGTGCTGAGGAGTTACCTTGCATTACTGGTCGCTGATGTTGATCAAAATGTTGAGATAACGACTTTGGAGCATTTCCATACATGGTCGCTGATGTATAGCCCTCAGAGGCTCCAGGACCATTCAAATGCTGCAAATTATTCCCAATCATTCCGAGTCCCCCATTCAGAGGCGCAGTTGACTGTCCATAGGATCTATTCTGCAATCCTGACCTGATTCCACCACCCATATGGCTGCCAAGTGTATGCAGTATACGGCTGTTTTGACCAGAAATATGCTGCTTTTGTTGTAGTGGCTGTGACACAGTTGTGGAATCAACACCAGAAAAGGTAGCACCACTATTAGATGATTCCAAATTGATGTAAGACGGTACACTGGTATTACTATTGGAATTATTACTATTACTAAACCCAGGAGTGGGAATCATTTGGCTTGTTATTCTTTGTCCACCCATGGATGGTACCAGGTTGTTCCCACTAGAATTGATCGAGAAATTGGATGTAGACTGTTGATATCCATTTGCCAAGGGGCCTGCAAGGATGAGTTCTGTTACACCAGAGTGAAGTAAATACCTTATGAATTTGGAAAACAGTAATGCTTAAAGTTACTATCAGCATAAATAAATGAAACACCATGTATACTGCCAGAGGGCAAATCGGTTGTCGGCACGAAGCTTCCAGAGTTAACTGCAGAGGATGGAATAGTACTTCCACCAGTCACAGAACTGTCGACAGATGATGTCCCAATAAGGGACGAATTCACACTTCGAGGCATGCCTGGAGTTGGTATCATTGTACCAATGGAGGTTGACGAATTGATCTGGGAAAATTGTTGGTTATGATTATTCATAGGAAGGCGTTTAATCAGGGCAAGTAATCGGTTTTCCAGAGTAGATAGATCCAGATACTCCTCCTAAAAATATGAAAAAAGAAGAAGCTTCATTTGCAAAATGAATAGAATGACCTTTCATGATAGCACCATCTTGTACAACATAACAATATTATAATAAACAAAACTGAAACAACAATAAACCTTTGACGAAGCATTCTTAAACAAGCTCTCCTCCAGGCGTTTAACTAGATCTATAACCCTCTGTGGTTGCATCTCCTGGGTTTGCTGCTGCCGCCGCATGAGATACTCATAGCTGGAGAATAAAAAGGTTGTCAAGTTCGCATCAGCTATCATCAGATAACTCAGCAGCAATGCAGAGGAATCAATTCCATACAAAAAAGATTTAGCAAATAACTGGAAATTTTGGAAGAAGAATCATGAACAATGCAAAACAAGAGCATCCTTTTGAAGAGAGAGTACATTACGGAGAATTTTAGAATAATGAGACACTAGGCTCATTTTAAACAATGTAATAGAATCTTGAAAAGCACTCAAGCACCTCTTTATGTTCACACACCATTTCCCTGGGTATTTATAGAGTTTACCTCCCAAAAGTCATTAGTCAACGCATCAGAGTTCGTACAGAAGGGCAGATAACAAACCCCTCCACAAGTTTTTGTAGAAGCTAAACAACACCTCAAATACTCTCTTTCATCATCTTCTATTGTTGTCTTTAAATGTCAACTGGATACTCTAGCATTTCGAAGTTGAGGTCCTTTCTAGAATCCTAACCAATAATACTTCTATAAAAATTCATCACTAAAACAGAACAATAGCTTGTTAAAACAACTTTCAAGAGAGTCCGTGCTTTAGGAGCAAAAGAATGGCAAGGAGCCCAGCAGATGAACAAATAGAAGAGTCTGACCAGATGACCAGAACAAATAAGTTTTGCCTCCTTAAAAAGCTTTTCAAATAAGTTTGTACTGGAATAACTAGAAGAACAAAATATGTGTATCCAACCTCTAGTTATCAAATATGACCACCAAAGTGCTGCAGCAAAAAAAAACTTTCAGCATTGAAAAAAAACTTAGTTATCAAAGAAAATGTGTTTAACTAATGTTAATAAGTTGGTCATTAGTAGCGGTTCACCTCAGTCTGTCTACACAATCCGACTCCACATCCTTCTCTATAAGGACTAAGAAAGAAAGAAAGAAATTGCCATAGGAAAATATTAATGGATGCTAAGATGTATAATGTATCTTCCTTCTTATTTTAAAAAAAAATATAATATCTTCCTTTGTTGATTTTTAAATCAAATTAAAAAAAAAAACAAGAAATATAATATCTTACATCTTCCGTGAAATATGTTTGCGAGCTTTCAAGAACTCAGACTCCATGTTGGGCATAGTACGATGGACGCCTGGATTTTGCATCTGCATAGGAAAAGGATTTCCATTCTGCTGGGCTAGCCCAGGCAAAGAAGTGCCACTTTGATTTGGAACCTGCCCAGAAATCTGCCCCGACATATGCTGGAAATTCATCTCTTTCTTGTATCCTTCTAAATAAGGTATACTTCATAAAGTGGACTATCAGCACCCCATCAAATGGGTGAGAATCCCATACTTCATTAGCTGCTTAATCAATTTTGGGAATATCATGAAACCTGCAGTTGAAATAATAACCAAAGACAAATAAAGGGTTGGGAGTCTAATTTATCACGTAATCTAAAAGCATACAAGAGAAATTGCAATTTGAAAGAGGGAAATAGCAAAAACAGTAGCTACAACATGATGTCATTGAAAAAGAAAAAGAGAAAAAGTCAAATAACGATTCTCATGTATATGAACAGGACAAGCACAGGAACAGCAATACATTCCCAGTGATGGGGACTCCAACTAACTTCCTCGCTAAACAACAGACTCTACACATGATTCAAATTCAAAAGAACAACAACATTGTATAAAATAAGCAACAACAGAAAAAAAAATGAAAGACTAATAACTAATACAATACTTGACTCCGAATAAATAACAGTGACTGCTCATGTTGACAATTTCGAGGCAAAGGAGATACACAAGTCATATGACAATCAAGAAAAAGTGATACCCAAGCCATATAACCAAAAGTAAATTCTGATGAATGTGTAGGACAAGAGTGAGTCATAGACACAAATATACATAATTTTCGACACCAACTTTGTGTTTTGTTAGTGAAATTTCTCTTACAAAAAAACAGAATATGTTAGTTTGCTGTTAAAATCACAGTCTAAGGCACTGATATCATGTTTAAACAGCATTACATTAACCATATTTGATCAACATTTACGTTCACCATATCCAAGACGTGAGATGGTATAATCACTTATATCAGCCATGTGTACAATCAAGCAAGAGACTCTGAGGGAATGCTCTCTAAAGCTGAACTTCAATAGAGCCAAAAAAATTGGTGCATGATCAAGCCCCAATATCTCAAGACTCAGGCTGAAATCAACTGCTCAACTAATTTCACCGACTCAACCTATGAGAGCTTCGCACTGTACAGCAGTTCCCAAACCCAGGTAAACAAGGAACATTGTAGTAAGTTAACAGCAATAAAGGCAAAGAACGCTGTGTGATTTCTTCTCATGTATCCAAGCCTGAGCAGAGTTACCTGGTACCTGTGTTACTAGGAGGTTGCAGGTACCCGATATAATAGTCTATGATCAATACTCTGATCATGGCTTTAATAGAGCAAAATTGATATACAAAGATTCATATAGCAGACACCAACTATTTTAACCAGAATAGAAAATGGGAAATGGGAAAAAAGAAGCTCAACTAATCACAACTATGTTAACCAAATATAAAATGAAAAAAAAAATAACAAAACTTTATACATAAACTAACAAACACACCAAAAACCATAGCTTTCCTACCGAATTCAGTGAGAGCATATAAAGCCCTAATTTTTAAAACATAGGAAGGAAAAAACCATTTTCATTGGAGAAATTGAAGAAAGCTGAATTCAAATACCTACATAAAACATTCCAATTACATTTTGAATTTCAAAATTTCTGAAAAAATATGACTGGAATCCCCCGAATTTACAGAAATTGCCGGTGGCAAAGAAGAATCGAAGTGAAATAAAAGGTTTTTCTTTTTTTGGGGGGAGATTGAAGCAAGAGTTAACGTCGAACCTTGTGAGACCGATAGGGTGGGTAGTGGAGATATACGGTGGTGATCGGCGGTGAGAGGTTGGGGAGAAAGAGAAATTGAAAGTTCGCGAAACGATATACAGAAACAGGGGAAGGGATTTTGTACGGGAATCGGGAAAAGTTTCTGTTTGGAAGACTCCTGTGTGTGTAATTTAATTTGTTAGTAAATAACTTTTTTGGAATTATTTTAGATGCATGTTTTTAACTTTTTTACTAATACAAGGTTTTTTCCGGTTCTTATAGGATACACTTGAATTATGGATGTTAGATTCAATTAGTAAGAATATAAATTTTATTATAGAATTTATTCAATAAAAAAAAATTCTTTCAACTAAAAGTAGTATAGAAATTGATGACAAATACCCATAAAATGAGAAATGAAAGAATGTATTTATGTCATTATAGAATTACTAATTTTATACTATACTTTTTATAACATGAGTAATGAATGTCACAGGTCAACTTCTCTCGGTCTTGCTCAATAGAAAACAAGCCTTCTCTTATCCCAAGTCTCTTGGTATGACCTGTATCTATGGTAACACTTATCTCGTTTAGGTCTTTTCCCCAGTGACACGAAGGCTTGAATTTCAATTGTGCCATCTCTTATATGTTAGAGCTTAAAACTTAATTAGCTATCTTACTCCTGATGTGCATGTCATATGTTGTGTCTCGTGTAGATGCATACTCGAGGTTGTCTACATGCTTGTCTCTCACCTGACACTGAGCATCACTCGCGGGAGCACAATCCAAATCTCAAATTTTAACACTTGCAGTGTGCCTACACATGGCAAATGCGACATTGTGTTGCTCGATTAAAGCAACTCCTAATTCCTTGGCTTATGTTACGTGCATATGTATGCGTAAGTAATCACAGTGTGCTCACAGGTCTAACACACAAAGCTCGGAAGAGGCAACTCGATTATTCAATTGGTAAAAAGGTCTTTATCCTTCCCAAATATATAGAGTACAATCATCACTTATGTCAAGCATTTGACACCTTTGAGCATCCAATACCAATGGCTAGTGAATTATTATTGAATTCAATGAATTGTACGAGGAGCTCAAACAATTATTTGAGTAGTCCAAGCTGGCCCTTGAGGATACTCAAGACTATCAAGTTGGCGAGGCTCAGCTCCTTAAGGCATAGATGAGTATTTTCTTTATTGTTAATATCTTGAATTGTGATGGAATTATATTTGAAAAACAACTCAACTTAAATTCGTCAAACAATAGCTTGATCATTATTAGAAGAGTTATTCTCTATGGGGTAAAATTGATAAATGACAGATGGATGCTCGACGAGTTGACATATGAAAGTAAGGACATGTAAGGTATAAGTCAACATATAGTTGGTACCGGATACAAACATGTGACGTTGTGTAGAATAAGTTCCAAAGGCATTGAAATCGAGAACGAAGATTTGAAAGGAAGATATCAGTTGGAAAAGACAGCATTTAATGTGCAGTCGTTACAAAGAATCTATGTATTAATGTTCAATCATTATGCAACCATCAAGAGAGGTTTTATTCGTATTAAATAAGAGCTTTATTTTGGGATCTTATCTCTCTGAATAGAGTTATAAATAGGAGAATTTGTTTCATTATTGGACACGAAACATTTGGTATACAAAAAAGGAAAAACAAGCTCTTATTCTAAATAATTTCCTTTACTTTGTTCTTCATATTTTTCTTGTTGTTGCTCTCACAGAAGTTTAGCCCACAATTAGGCCTGTGTTTCCTTATAATTTATTTTCATTATCTTATTATTGTTCTTGTTTATTTTATATTCTTGGATCAAATTAATGTACGTGTCTATAAATCACGTTACAAATTCATCTGCATCATTTTACAGGTAAACAATTTGGCACTCACCGTAGGGCATAGACAATTGTGTTATTATTTTGATCAATTCATATGTTACTAACACAGTTTGACACTTTTTATTAGAAAAAGAAAAATTAGATATGGCAGCTAACGATATAAATATAATATTGGAATAAACAACGAGCGTGAGGATGTATTCCACCGTGAGGATTCAACTAGTGAAACTCTCAATGAGGGAGATGAAAAAACTCCGGGATACGAAGAGCTAAATCCTCGGCATGTGAGAAGTCCAAATCCTGATGATATGGACGATGGACGTGTTGTTGAAATGGTCAAAATTTTGAGGGAGCAACAAAGGAAAATTATGAATCATCTCTCAAGACAAGATCAGGTAATGACAGAGTTGAAGCATGCGCTTTTGGTTGCTTCCAATAACTCCAATGGAGGAGTTCAAGCTCCTCCCAGTGTGCCTGCAAATCAAACAGTTCAAGAAACTGATAACATTGCTCCAAGGGAAGAGTTTGGTTTTAATGAAAATGACACAGGTGGTGCAGGTAGCGGATTCGGGAATGACAACAACACTAATGACCCTTTCAAAACCGAGCTCATGCAATTCATAAGGGAAATTAATGAATGGACCAAAATGATAACGAATTCCATGCTCGGATCTATCAGATCTCGGGAGCACCACCGATGTTGAAGGGACTGGATTCAAAAAAGTATACACAATTGTCGTTCAAACCAAGTGCGGCCGCGGAATTGATTCCGAAAAAATTCAAGATGCCCGATATTCCGAAGTATGATAGGACTTCAGATCTACAAGAGTGTATCACAACTTGCACTACTGTTGTAAAGGAAAATGACTTGGCACCACACGAGATTGAATATGTCTTATTAAAGAAATTTGGCGAACCCCTAACGAAGGTGATTTAACATGGTATTCTCTTTTACCTGAGCATTCAATTGACTCTTTTGAAATATTTTCAGACTTTTTCATTAAAGCTCATATTGGGGCAAGGAAAGTCCAAACTAGGAAAGCAAACATATTTAGAATCGTTCAAGGAGAGTCTGAACTGTTACGAGAGTTCGTAATCCGATTCCAAAAGAAAAGGATGTTGTTGCTGGCAGTACCAGATGAGTTGACAGCTGAAGCATTCACTAAAGGTCTCAATCTATTGAGTTCTGATGCCTCTAGAAAATTGAAGTAAAACCTGTTGGAATTACAGGCAACCACATGGGCAGATATCCACAGTCGGTATGAATAAACAATCAGAATTGAAAATGATCACCTGAACTCTTCGGTTTCATCCAAGGGGCACAGTCGTGATAGGATTTAGGAAAAATTCAAAACTAATTTCGATGCAGGCCGAAAATCTTTCAAGAGCCGTTTTCAGCTTTATGAAAGAGTTTATGGCGTGGAAGTAAAGGATTTAGTCATTGTAGGGTTATTTTCGATAGAAGGACGGATAATCGTCGGAATAGCAAATCTTTACAGGATAAGGAACCATCGGGGTCCCCAGATTCAGCATACCCCCGATTATCTGATTACAATTTTAATTTTAGCTTAGAAGAGCTAGTTTTGGCTATGAGAAACATTAAGGAGGCACGATTTTCAAAACCAATTCGATCGGATCCTAGTAAAGAGATCCTAATTTATGGTGTGAATTTCATGGAACACGTGGCCATATGACTCGAGACTGCCGACACCTTCTGCAAAAAGTTGTAGCTAGGGGTGGGCATCGGTCGGTTCGGTTCAGTTCGGTTGTGAATGTTATCGGTTTGGCATATCTGTTATTGATTTATAAATATGCTAACCCGATAACCAAACCGATAAGATATCGGTTATCGATTATCAGTTAATTGGTAATCGATTATTATCGTTCGATTATCGGTTTACCCGATAAGATAACTCAATCTAGATTCTAGAAGGAAGAAGTAATGAAGGATAATGTGTACTATATAAAGAATATGATAAACTTTCTCGACTGTTGTAACCCTTTCAAAGAATATGATAAACCTTACTCCCTTCGTTCCAATTTATGTGAACCTGTTTGACTAAGTACGGAGTTTAAGAAAAAATGAAGATTTTTAAAATTTGTGGTCCTAAACAAGTTAAAAATGAACCCAGAGTATTTGTATGGTTATAAAAGCTTCTAATTAGGAGTAGAATTGTAAGTTTAAGCTAAATTGTTACTAAATTTAGAAAGGGGTCATTCTTTTTGGAACGGACTAAAAAAGAAATATGTTCACATAAACTGGGATAGAGGGAGTACAACATTTATTTCTCTATGTATTGAATGACAAAATTGGGAGGATTACAACAGTAAATAGAGAATTGGGATAACTGAAAAATTTATATACATAAGGGTAAACTCATATTTTTATAAAGTTTATTGGGTTACCGGTTAAACCGTTAATAAAAAATGGGCAAACCGAGACCTAAACCGATAACCCAATTGTAAAATAACACTAAACAGTTACCAAGCCATTAATCCAATAACTCGATACCAATAACCCAGTAAGCTTTTTTTGGTTCGGGCTATCGGTTTTACCCGATATATGCCCAGCCCTAGTTGCAGCGTTATTGAAGAATGGTCACTTTAGAGAATTTTTAAGTGATCGGGACAAAAGTAATTATGGGAGGAATCGAGATGCTATGGAACCAGTTAAACCGGCTGCAGAGTCACCTCACCTAATGATAAACATGATCTTTAGTGGTGTTGAGGCAAATGGAATGACATTTTCAGCAGCAAAAAAAAAATAATGATATCGGTAACCCATGGAAAGAGAATCCGAGAAGCATGAGAAGATGATGAAATTACCTTCACGAAAAAGATTTTGATGGCCTTCTTTTACCACACAACGATGCTATGGTAATTTCACATAATATTTTAGATTTTAAAGTTAAACGTGTGTTGGTTGATCCAGACAGTTCAGCCAATGTCATTCAGTTTAAGTGTTTTGGAACAAGCAAAGTTAAACGGAAACATAGTTTCGGCAATAAAGCATATGGCCAGGTTCAATCTAACGAGTGTAACAACCCGAGGAGAGATCTTATTGCCCATACATGTCGAAGGTGTGACAAATACCACTTTGTTTGAGGTGGTAGATTGTGATATGTGATATAATGTCATCTTTGGCAGGCCTTAGATTCATGAAATGAAGGCTCTATCATCAACTTATCATCAATTTTTGAAGTTCCCAACACTGGAGGGAATCAAGCAAATCAGAGGTGATCAACCTGCAACAAGATAAATGAATGTAGTAACTTTATCCAGCAGCAAGGCGGAAAGAGCAATAAATAGTAACTACAGGAACCGATG